AAGGGAGTGACACTTAAAAAAATAACTCGTGAGATTTGCTCATGTACCAGCACGATTTAAAACTGCCTCAGTATACTTACAGATTTGTAAATTTATTGTATCCAAATGCTGTCAACATAAACACTTCTTGACGTATCTGTTACTGATGGTTCACTCTTTATTTATCATAAGCAAGTAATTGTTTGAATTTCCAATTATGTATTTAAATGCGTTATAACTAGTTTCATTTGAGCATTTTTATGAGCTTAACGTTAATCCCATTATACACAGTTTGCCATGGCATTTTGCAATGGGAACGTATTTTTTCTCTATTTATTTTTCTACTATCTTATTTTGATACATTGTATGTTTTTTTAAATCAATTTTCGCAAACTATTTTGTTCTTTATGCGGTAAAATATGTATGCATGTATTTGATTTTATTTCTTAATTTTTTGGTATGTAATTAAAGTTGGGTGTATAAATAAATCTTTTTTTTTATACATTTTATTAATTTTTCCTTATTTGTATGCATTTAAGAAGCTCTTGTGGATGTACATTTGCGTCTATTTGTACAAAATTTTAACTTTGATTTTTTTTGTATGCGGTAAGAAATACAATGAATTAGAAAAAAATATAAGCTTATTGATTGTACTGTTATAAAAGTGCATACATAATTTGCATCCGAAGTACAAAAATTTGCATAACAAATAGCTAAATATTGAAATGTATCAGCATTAAGGGTATTCACTAAATTTTGCAAAATCCTTGAACGGTGTACGCATTGCACGGTTCGCAAATTTTTCTTATTGGAAAACCAATTCAACAGTGCAATCCTTGCACGGTGCAAAGGTTTTGCAAAACTTACAGAATACCACTATTGTATATACATACATATTTTTAAATGATTTTGGAAACATTCATGTCAACCGTGGTAACTGAATATTACAAACAATGTACATGCAGATGTATACCCAGGCAGCAGAGAAACATACGCTTCTGCTGAGATTGCGGGCAAGCTGATGATTTAGAAAGGTAATTCAAAATATACGAAAATAAAATAAACGGCTAAAACAATCAATACTCTTAACTAGTTCCCGACCGAAGCCGAAGTCGTACATTAAAATTAAGTTTTACGTTTTAAAAATAACAAGTGTGTGATTTTTTATTTCGTAACAAGTTATTTTTATTGTTTTTCAAATAAAAGGAACGCCATACAATCATACATAGTTGAAAACAAAATCAAAAATGCAAAAAAGTGCAGTCTTACGGCTCTATTCTGTATCAGTGACAAACTCTTGTCACAGTTTTATAAATGGAAAAATACTTCTATGAAAAATTTTAAATTTGTCAGTAAAAAAATTTTTGTCACCGATACAGAATTGGGCTATAAACGGTAAAAGCATTTTAAAGACTTGAAGTAAGTTTCATAAAATTAAAAAGCTTGTTGTTATATGCCAAAAAAAGAAGCGTGTCTGCATTTTCTCCTAAGAGATTTGATCGTTTATGGGGTTACAGCTGACCAACTGTACTAAATAATTGTTCGCTAGCCACACTCGTTGGTGGCGCAGTTAAACAATTTTTCGCAACCTTTAAAATTCCAATAATGGAATATTTTGACACTAAGAAGAAGAATTGGTTGATTTAAATATACGTTTATTTCAATTTTGCAGATTTATCATGGGATTCCCAGAGATTACTAGGATCCGATATCACAATTTCTTCGTCAGAAGTGTCTTCATTATGATTAGGATCGCAACTGTTACGAAAAATTTGAAAATTTGTCCTTTTACATTGTTCCAATTGATCTGCGGTAAAATATTTTCCTTTGAATTTTTATGGTTGCTAATATATTTAAATTATTAAAGCTGCGATGCAAGGGTTGAAAATTGTATCCTTCAAATCGCATACTTTACACTCGTCTGTTTCGGCAGTTTGTAATTTTTTTTTAGAGCTGGAGAAACGATGTTTGGTAACATCGATGTTTTCGATGTTTGAAAGAAAAAGGTCGATGACTAAATTTTAAGAATATTAAGATTTTTGCTGACTTATGAACTAATTTCAATATATCAAATTATGTATAACGCTTTTGTCCCTTTAAGGGCTAGACTAAATTGAATCGTTAACCCATGAAACTATTTGCTCATATAAAACTATATGACAAGAAAATATTTGTCCTCGGTCTTTACTCACTTCAATACTTCAAGTCTCCAACACCACCGCAATTCAATAGTTAATGTCTTAAATCACGAATATTAATAAAATTTTATCGAAAATGTTTAAGCGAATGGAACTGATTTACCTGTTTACGCACCAGGGGTTGCAATTTGCAAAAACATCGATGTCAGCAGCTCATACAAAAACATCGATTTATCGATGTTCCCATCGATGTTTCTTCAGCTTTAATTTTTTTCAGTCATGGCTACTAGTGGTTTAACATTTCCCGATATATTTGAATGATGTTTGTGCTTCTGATTTCGGATAAACTTAAAAAACTATTCATAATATGCTTTTGCAGTTAGTTTTATCCGTAACTATTTCCGCGAGCTCGCCACCAAACATACACAAAACAGCGGACTTTATAAAGTAAACTTTGAAGCTATATAAGATATCAATTTACAATGTTTCTTTGAGGTTGTATACCGATTCTGTATAAATACTGAGGCTGCGTTTCTTTATACATTCCGGATAATCCCATTTCACAGCCGAAATAAACAGAATGTATTTGAAATATACGTTAACGTACCATCAGGAACGTTCTAAAAAATAAGTAAACAAAAAAGTTTATTCCAAACATTCAGAATGAATAAAGAAAAGCAGGCTGAGATTGAGATGATAAAAAAATGGAGGACTCGTCTTGAATTTGTATCGCCAAGCAGGCTCTGCCTTCTGGCAATTTAATAAAATCAAGAACAATCAACATAAGGAGACATTTTTTTTTTTACTTTTTCGCGATAATTACCAACAAAAATTGTAATTGCCTTCAAGCGGGAATGCTGCTTCCAGCTGCGAGTGGACTAACTGCCATTCCTACTGAAATACATATACATAAACACGTATACAAGACTTAATTACATAAATATATTAATTTAACAGCGCGTTAAATTTTACACTACAACTTTTTTATTTAAATATATTCTGAATATTTGCAGGTACTGACACTGAATGCATGTTTTGCAAGTTCTTGGATGTTTATTACATTTTAAATTGATTTTTTTATTTGCTATAAAATTACACAAAACGCCTACAGTTATACAATAAACACGTTACAAATTGCATTAACATGAAAATACGTAAGCATACGTAATTACATAGGAAAATATATTAATGCTTAAGCCAAACTTGTCAAGCTTTGATGCTAACACACATACATAAAAAGCAATATGTAAATATACTATACATACATACATACGAATACGTATACGCGTATAAGTAAAAGTTTTAATTATGCACTTGCAAAACTACACAAAATATATAATTCACTCTTTTGATCAAAAGTTCACTAATTCTTTATCATCAATTTATTTGTTGTCATAGTCGTCATTGATTTCTTGTTCTGCAAAAAAAAATTATGTAATTACACCTTTATAAAAATTTTGATTAATCGTTAATCAGTGTTGGTAATGAGTAGATGAGATTTTTGTTTTTTTTTCGTTTTGATTTAAGTTTTAAATTTTCACTTATTTAGGTATTTAATTGGAGCGGATTGGCGTGGCACAATGCAACGCTGGGTACTTTTCGGTGTTGAATGAATATGAGCTAGTGAAAATGTCGCAGTGGAGGTGAGTAGCTTGTGAGGTAGTGAAGCGGAAGGAGTAATTTTGTGCTCTAAGTTTGGTGTCTGTGTGGGTGGTAGTGTTACCTGATTCGGTTGCAGTGTTGCCATTGTGTTCGCGCTCCAATTTAGTGGACGAAATTTTGATATACTATTTTGCTTGAACTTCTCTCGATGCATTAGCGCAGTTGGACAGTATTTTCTTTGGTTTCTATTAAAGTCTTGTTTTTCATATAGCATCTACGTGTTTCTACAAGTACATTAAGATTTAAATTTAGCCTTTGAGTTTATTTGTAAATGTAAGAAAATTCTTGCAGCAATTCCTGCTTTAATTTGGGTTTACTTTAAGCGAATATTAGCACTCCGATCTGTTTTCAATCTATTCTATATGCGGGGATATTTATTATTCCAAACGAAAAAGGTGCATACATTTTAATAGAAGTACATAGTACTAGGTTAGGTTTTGTGGACTGGTGGAGGAAACCCCAGAGCATGTTGTATGTGACTGCCCACGTATAATCAATAGCTGACTGATACACTTTGGGGAACGATTGTCTGCCCCATACAAAATTTGTAACATGGCACCTTCCAAATTGCTTAACTTGTAAATATCCTAAAGTTGGATTGATTACAATTAGGGTATAGAAAAATAGATTTTCTTAAGTTAAAAAAAAAAATTAATGGTAGGTTTTGCTAGAAATTTTGGTAGGAAAAAAATTTGTACGTAGCAATACTGCCCCGCAGCCTCGGAAGAATTGCTGCTCCTTCTGGAAGCTTAGGTAGCAGCAACATTTCAATCAACCAGGAGCCTCCGGAAGCAGGACATAATTTATTAGGACTGAGTTCGGTCGAGCGCGTACTGGTAAGTGGAGCCGCTTGACGGAAACCGAGGGAAGGCATACGTTGCCGATTTGCTTAAATTTAAGCAAAATTGCTTAAGTTTTTCCTGCCTGTTAAAATGTTAAACTTTTCTTCGTTTTGCTAAAAATTTTTATTAAAATAGTCAAAAAGGATAATTTTCCTCAAAAATTCAGTCATATCAGCAGTTTTTTGTTACTGTTTATAATAATGAAGAAAATATATTTTCGTTAATTGGAGGTAAGTCTTATTAGTGATATTTAAACAAAAAATCTTCCTATTTTTTTTTGTGTTGATCGCACTTTGAACTATTATAGGTGTGCGATATGTAGATTCTAATCAAATCAAATAACAATTATTCGTTTGGGGCCTTGATATTGCATTTGAAACTGTAGTGTTCTGCGTCTTTTTGTTGTTTGATTTCAGTTGTTTTCGTCAAACTTGATTAAATGCGATGTAGATAAATATTTTGCATGACTCGAGTTCTTATTAGTGCTTTGTTTATGCCAATATTAAACGAAGAAGGGGATCTTAACTGAGTTCTAATTAAAATTATATCAAAATATTAATTATTTTAGCTTTAGTTGAAAGTAAAGTAAGTACTGTCGAAAAAGTAGTAAAGCATTGCATGCGTGATAAATAATATAATGTATTTCTTATGAGTTCTCGATTACATTACTGCTAACTATGTAATCAGCATTCTAATGTATTCAAAAATTTTCAAATTTTTGATATTAAAACACATTAATTTCTCGATACTAGGTAATGCAAAATTGAATGCCCCACTTTTCCTAGGACATCGCCCTCGCTCGAAAAAATAATCAGTAAAACAACCCTTTTCACATTCGAAAATGCATTTTTCCCCCGCGGCATTGTCCTAAGAAAAGTGGGGCATTCAATTTTGCATTACAGTAATGCAGAAATGAATGTGATTTAATATGGAATTTTTGGGAGTTTGTGGATACATTGGAATGCTGATTACATAGTACATAAGAAATACATTAAACTATGTATCACGCATGTAATGCATTACTACTTTTCCGACTGGGATTCAATACTTTCCCCAAAGCAAATTTATTTCAAACATCCCGCATATTGGAATAGAAAGACTGCGCATGTAGTGCGATAAATACCTAATACTACCTATTAACGTTCAAGCGCCTAAAAGCTGACTGTAGTTTCCTTATCCTAAATCTTTACCATAAATAGTACTGTGGAAATGTCTATTTAGGTTTTAAAGCTATGTCAACATTTAGCTTAATACCAATTATATTTCTACTTAGCTTACTAAGCTAAATATACAAACGAATACTAAATTTTCGTATTGGTACAATATACAAATAAATAATGTAAAAGTTTTCATTTAATTACGTTGACTTTGCATCTGCGCTGCTAATGGACGGCCATTGCCGTTTGATGACGGCGAAGTGGGTCATTTGATAAGCATTGGTGTGCTGACATCGGCGTTCCACGAACCCAGTCAGACAGTAGCCCATATTGTAGTCCTCCATTGATATATTTGAGGTCAGATACAATTTGAATTCGTCAATATCCTTTTCCTTGCCACTGTCGGCACTTGCGGCACTACCATCGGCGCAGTCAAGGCAGGTTTTGCCGCCTACCGAACTACCGGACGCAGTCTTTTTGCCATGAAAGTGCCCTGCGATGAGAAGCGAACCTTTCTGTTCGAGCGGCACCATTTTTGCTTTAGTCGACTGGCGTTGTGTGCCGGTGAACTCTTCGATGCGACAACGACCTGGCTGCCACCAACAAGGCGTGATAGTCCAGTAGCTGGAGGAGGCGGTCCGCGCCCAACCCTCTTCCGGATAAAGGAGAATCTGCAAGAAAACAAAAGAAAAACAGTGAAAACATAATGAATAAAAAAAGGTTTTAAAACCAATCTGCCGCAGCTTCGACGAGCTGTACGAAGGAAAAGGCAAGTGGTAACAAAAATATAGAGGTATCCTAGGCGATGGGGACCATGATACGCTTGCAAAGTACAAGTACATAATCGTCATCGCTGCTTCAATCGCAGCCAGCGCGAACTCTTCGCACATTGCGAGTTAGTATTTGCATATTGGGATGGGCTATGTACATACATATGTTCATACGCTCCCCACCCCTTTTTGGTTGTTGATGTTGCTTACAAAAGCTCTGGTGTTTTGAGGACGCTGACGTTGGTTGGCTTAATTGAAAATCGAAATTAAAACTTTTGCTCGAAAAATAAATACTACTTCTGGCCACCCTTCATTTAAAATTTGATTTTGCTTTCCTTTCATTTTTGTGTTGATTTATCCTTCCGGTGATACTTACGTCCAAATTCATTTAAAACATGAAAATTTCGTCAGAATTTCTATGCCGCTCACGAGCTTTTATTAAAATGAAAAACTTAATTCTAACTTTGCAATGTTCAGGAATTTAATCAGTAAATAATCATATCTTATTACATTAAATGAGGAATTCTTGTATATATATATATATATACTAGCGGTATCTACCCCGGTGTGCTTCTCTACACCAAATATTGAAAAATTAATGAAAAATCCTCCGTACTTCCTTTTGTTGGGAGTGCTCCTCAACATTTTGCGATCTTCCTTGCGATAACATCATGTTCGCAAGACGCGTATGTCGGCCTATATTTGAACGACTGGATCGTGGCATTTTATTCAATAGCGAACGAAAAACGCAATGCATAGGAACGAATTCGATAAATCGTATGGTAAACGCACTTTTTTTTTTAAATAATCAAATGAAATTCACAATCGACAGTAAAAGAGCACTTGAAAAAACTTCGTTCGAAGCCAAAGAACACAACACATCCACAATTTTCCATAATGGTTTTGTTCACTATAAATCAATGAGGAGAAATACCTGCATGGAAAATTTCCAGTGTACTCAAACTTTTCGTACGAAACGCTGCAACAAATTTGTGCAAAAATATTGAAATTTACGAAAAAAAATAAAATGAAATATGAATTAAGAACTATATTAAACACACGTGTTGATTCTCCAAAGTCCAAGATAGAAAGACCGAACATCAATGTACACCACCTTTTCGATAATACGATGAAATGACAGATATGTTGTGTTGTGGTGACTTTCATTCCATTGGCTCTACAAAATCCCTATTGAAAAACTTGCAGTCATGTTTATACTTGATTTAATTTATCCGAAGAAAAGATAAAAACAGCACATTATAGCAACAATTTTTCACTATGTTTTCGATTTTTCCTGTATGTGCTGTTGTACCATATACGTGGTTTATGTGACAGACATAAACTGTCATATATCATGAACCGCTGAACCGACTTCGGGCCCACTTCACATAACCCATCTGCATGATAGTCCGAATATACCGTTTAAATTTGGTAGAATTCATGCACTTATTTTTTTATTTAAGATGGGAGGTGCCACGCCCCCCTTTCCCAATACCGCATATTTTTCTCCATGAGTATGGAATTATTTCTATGTCTCTATACCAATTTCCAGTAATCTACTACAAATATTTCAAGAGATATACCAGATGAAAATTTTTGTTAGTATGGGTGGTGCCACGCCCCCTTTTCCGAATTCGGGGAAACTTAACACAAACCATCTGCATAATAGCCCGACTATGCCGTATAAATTTGGTTGAAATCTTGTACTTATTTTTTATATATAAGATGGGAGGTGCCACGCCCTCTTTTCCAATACCGCCCATTTTTCTCCATGAGTATGGAATTATTTGATATACCTCTATACCAACTTCCAGAGATATACAACATACAAATTTTAGTTAGTATGGGAGGTGCCACACCCCCTTTTACGAATTCGGGAAAACTTCACGTAAACCATCTGCATGATAGCCTGAATATGCCGTATAAATTTGGTTGAATTCGGTGAAGCCGTTCTCAAGTTATAAGCTCACACCAAAAACGTGTACTTATTTTTATACATAAGATACCTATGCCACGCCCCCTTTTCCAAATTTGGGCAAACTCCACATAAAATATCTGCATGATGGCCCGAATAAACTATATAAATTTCGTTGAATTCGGTGAAGCCGTTCTCAAGTTATAAGCTAACTCACTAATTTTTATATATAAAATAGAGGCGCCACGCCCCCTTTTCCGAATTCAAGAAAACTTCACGTAAACCATCTGCATGATAGCCCGAATATGCCGCATAAATTTGGTTGAATTCGGTGAAGCCGTTCTCAAGTTATATGATCACACCAAATTTTTATATTTTTGTTAGTATGGGTGTTGCCACGCCCCCTTTTCCGCATTCGAGCAAACTTCGCATAAACAATCTGCATGATAGATCGAATATGCCACATAAATTTGGTTAAATTCGGTGAAGCCGTTCTCAAGTTATGAGGTCACACCAAAAACGTGCACTTATTTTTATATATAAGATATATCCATAGGGTTCTCGGAACACAGGTAATTTTTTGGATTCTAAGGTTATCTGAATAGGTATTATCTCCGAGAAGACTCATATAAGGTTGCCACCTATTCGAAATTAGTTGCAAATTAATTAAAACATCATAATATTGACATCAAATGGAAGGTGTTTTAAAGATCCCTAATTCAAAAATATTTTTAATAGGGCATATTTATTAATTTTTTGTTTAGAAAAAAAGGTAAATTATTACTATTCATGGGTACCAAGAGGAGGTTCTTAAACAATGTTTTCCCTATATACAAAATAGTATCCGTTAGGATAGAAGTGTAAGGTTGCCACTCATTTTCGATTCTACACAATTTATCTAAAACATAGAAATATGGATATCAGATGAAAGGTATTGTTGAGGACTTTTATTAGAAAATTTTTTTGATTAGGGTTGCCACGCTTCTATGTAATAAAAATTTTTATTTTGTTAATTCCAATCGGCATTTTTTATACATACACATTATATATACGCTCAAGATATATACTATTCAGTCCAGCGTATTTCGGGAATAGGGTTGCCACCTAAATTTTAGCGTAAGAAGTTTACTTAATAGATATCGAAATCGATTTTTTTTTCAAAAATATTTTTTTAAAGCTATCCAAATGACCGATATTTGATATCAAAACCTTTAAAATTTAAAAAGTATATGCACTCCGGGCAAAGCTCGGTCAACCTGGTACTTAATATAAATGAGATACAAATGCTCAAGGCCCGCGTTGAATACTTTCGGAGCAGGAGTGTTTCTGTCCATTCGAACGACATGGAAAAGCCAGCGGAGCAGCCGAATTTTAATTCGCTGCACTATGTCTAGATCGTTGTAAAGCTCATACAGCTCATCGTCCCATCGTCTGCGGTACTCGTCGTCGCCATCGTGTAAAGGCCCGAAAGTCTTCTGCAAAATCTTTCTCTCGAATACTCCAAGAGCCGCCTCATCGGATGTTGTCATTGTCCATGCTACTACGCCATATACCAGCACGGGCATGATGAGTGACTTATAGAGCGTGGTTTTCGTACGTCGAGAGAGGACTTTACTCCTGAATTGCCTGCGCAGCCCAAAGTATCACTTGTTGGCAAAAGTGATTCTGCGTTGAATTTCCATGCTGACATTAGGTTTGTGTAGTAACCAATAGTCAGTACTAATTTGTACTGGAACCTGCAAATTTTTACTGGAAAAGTGTATGACGACCCAAAAAATTTGTAACAGAGCACTGAATTGAGAGCGTAACAATACGGGAGAGCTGCGAATTCTTGCTAGTGAAATTTATACTAGCAGAAGAAGAAGAAGAATAAATTTCAAAAGTTGAATTGGTTTAGCACAAACAAAAGTAAAATGAGTGGAAATCAAAATATTAATGACGCACAGGACTATGTAAGTGCTTGTGTGCAAGGCAAAGAGTTTAAAACTGATTTATAAATAGTAAAATGTTTACAGCAGAATATCAAAACGGTGCAACAACTATTCACTTTCAAGTTTTTACTAGTTTTGCGTTGAATAACTTTTTCTGCTAGTTTTCTCTTCTTCTCAATTTTACGCTCTATTCTTTTTTACGCTCTCGCTGCAATATTTTACTGGAGAAGTTACTATACAAACCTATTATTATTTTAATTTTAATTCAAACGTCAAAGCTGTGTAGCTGTGCTTTTTTGTGCTCTCATAAAAATTAATTTTTTTTAAGTTGTTAACTTTAATTAAGTAAATATTACAATAAAATTGCTAATAAACGTTTGGTGCACAATTGAAGATAAGTATAAAATCATAGTTTCCTGTGAATTTGATCAATTTAACTTAATATTCTTAATAACATGTGCCGAGTCTTTTGTTTCATATAATACATTTTGTATTTTTTTTGTTATTGTCAATTGCTTTGGTTTATTTATAACTACAATTGTTTTTGTTTGTGCACATTGATTTTGCTCTTTATGTCATTTCTGCCGATTCATCCTTGTCACAGCTGTTTGCGTTGTGTTTATTAAGCGTCAAAATACAGTGTATTTAAAACTGTTCGCTACATAGCAATCAAATTGTTATTTGCCAGCTGATTGATTTTCTCATACATCGCTTTCAAAACTGTTTTGGAATTTTTTGCTTACATACATAAATATCATTCTCAACATGTCGGGTATTTACGCCAATTACCACGTTAAAAGCGATGTTTTGAGCAGTAGGGTGTTAGACGCTATTAATGAGGTCTTGTCAAAAATGTAGATCAATCGAAGTTGATTTATTTAAATTCTTTAGGCAGTCCAAAAATGCTTTTTTTGAAATTGGGAAGGATTTGTCGGTACTTGTTGAGAAATTTAAGCATCATGAAAAAATGTTTAAGTCTTTCACATGTCTCGACAACCCTCCACATTCTGAGGATAGCCGAGAAAATAAATGTAGGCGTGTTAGTAGTCCACCTA